TATTATTATTATTATTATTACTATTATTATTATTATTATTACTATTATTATTAATTTTTTTTTTATTATTATTACTACTATCATTAATTTTTTTTATTATTATTACTATTATTATTAATTTTTTTTTATTATTATTACTATTATTATTATTTTTTTTATTATTTGATATTTTTATTGTTAAATATATATTAATTTGTACTTTACTCCTAAATTTTTTTTATTTATTTTATTTTTTAGTTGTTGTTGTATTACTTTTTGCATTATGTTTTCGTTTTTAATTTTTCGTCTTTAATTTTTGTAAATTAATATGACTTTACCATAATATTATTTTTATTGCTATTTTTATTATTATTGCATATTTTTTGATGTTATTAAATTATATTTATATTTTAATTGATGTTTATCACTTTATTTTTTTGTATGTAGTTGTTCTAATTTTATATTTTTTTTCTTTCGGAGTTTCTTGTTTTTTATATATATAAATTAATTTTATGTAATTAAATTAAAATTAAATGTATATAACTATATATTGTATAATTATTTCTTACTATTTATTTTATTTTTATTATTTTTTATTATCTATTTTATTTTTATATATATTTTTTTTAATATTTAGTAACTTTTCATTATTATTTTTTATTTATTAATTTTTAATTATTTTTTTTAATATTTATTTATTTTTTTATTATTTTTTCTTTAATACTTATTTTTTTGTTAGTATTTATTTATTTTTTATTATTTTTTTTTAGTATCTATTTATTTATATATGTATATATATCGTTTTTAATTTTTTGGTATTATATAATATATGTTTGTATGCATATACAAATATGATTATATTTTTTATGTTGTAAATTTTTTTAATTTTTTATTTTATTATTAGTAATTTTTTTATTTTCATTTCACTAGTGCCACTTTTTATTTGTATTTCAAATTTTCAGCCTCATGAAGTAACAAGCTGGAGCAATATTTAGCGCATTTATGCACATAAACACACACAAACATAAGTACATTAATATTTATGTTAGTACTTAGATGTAAGTGAAGTAGTTAAAGTGTTATAATTCAATTACCGTTCAAAGCACGTCTTCCTCAATTGTCGCCGCTGCTGCACTTAGCTCCACGCTGCTGGCTATTGGCTGGCCGCTGCTGCACTCTTACGTTCTTGCACTTTCACTTTGCCGACGGACGGGCGTCAGTTTTTAATTTATGTGTATATTTACTTTGCACACCGACTGCTTAGCTGATTGATTAGCGTGTTTAACGTAAATACACCAAAACACAGTTGTTAACAACAACCACACTACACGCGCATAGGCTTTGAGCGCGACCGAAAACGCAACTTCAAGTTTGCAGGCTTCAACGATGACTGCAGGTTTTGCTGCAGTTTTGATGCGATTTTCCAATCCTTTTTTGGAATAACAGTTCTCGCTTTCTGCGCTACAAACACATACGCGTTTATTTGCAAACTTCGGCTTACAAAAACACACACACATGCACGAAGAAAGCGCGCTAACACACACACACACACCGACGTATAAATGTGTTGGTGGAGGCTGAGGAGGCGGAAATTTTAATTTCAATTTTGTTGTTGTTGTAGCTGATGCCGAGCGCTATAGCGGCGGTTTTCCTTCAACGTTTTTTTTCCGACTTTTTGATAAGAATTTCGGGCTTTATGGCATACAAACACACATTTTTCGTTAGAAAACTTTTATTTTTGTATAATTTTCACTTGGATTTAGCGAATTTGAAAAGCGATTTGCGATTTTGCTTTGGTATTAACACAAATTTTGTGGAAATTTTCGAAACTTTTGCAATTTTGCACAGAATTAGTAAACTTTCTGCTTCCGTACTGCACCTTTTGGCGTGTCTGTGTGTGTTTTTGTTGTTGTTTCACAGCTAGTTTTCTGGGTTTGCTTTTTACAAATGTTTTGTGTTTGTATGTATATGCAAGTGTATGGCTGTGTGTGTTTTTTATTATATTTAATTTTTTTTAGAGTTTTAAAGTTTTAAAGTTTTTGTTAGTCGCTCTGTATATACATATGTATATGTATTTGTGTGTGTATGTGTATAACTATGTGTATCTACTTAAGTTTATATAAGTATGTGTCTCTACACTGTTGCTAGTTGCTGTTGTTATTATTGTTATTTGTTGTAATTGTTTCTTACTGCTGTTAGTGGTGGTTCAAGTGTTTGGTGGTGTTTTTTTAATGCTTCCTTTCCAGCTTTTTTTCAGCTTACAGCTCTTTACAAGGAATTTGTTGCAATTTTTTTTTATTTTTTATTATGACTTTGGAATTTTTTACTTCTACTCAAATGCCTTTGCTGCACTTGTTGTTGCACTTGCTTTTTTATAGCTTGCTAGCTGCCTTCGCTGGCTGACTGCCACTTTTGCCACAATGCAAATTTCTTTTTCTTCGCACAAATTTAATTGCTTGCCGCTCTTCGAATTGATTTTCAATGCTTTTTGCAATTACAATTTCACAATTTTACAACTTTACAGCACACAAAAATGTAGTGATTTTTTTTTTGATTGATCTCGGTATGTAGTTGGTTTTGGTAGTTTAGACCCGCTCAGCACCTCCGATTCGCTTCAAAGTACAATTCGTACTAAAAAATTGGCCCCAAATGTGAAAAAGAGAAAATTCATTTCGCCAACACGAAGCAGGGGCAGCAGCGCAGCGCAGCCGTCCGAACGTTATACGCCAAAAAGGCGCACAGCGGCAGCAACCAGTAGCAAGCAGCGATGACGGTGTTGGGGCTGCGCACAGTGGGTGGTAGACGTAAAATACTATTGGAAATTTTTAGACATAATTCTTTATATAAATATAACAAACCAAATTATTGTCATATTACAAGTAAAACTAAGCATAGATAGTATTTTTTCGAATTAATCAAAATTTATTTTTATGTAAAAAAATTAAAAAAAAAATAAAGAATAATTTCGTTTGCACCAAAGCTGTACGCTTCACAAACACCAAAGATTCCATACAATAACTTGATTTTGCATTAGTGGTCCAATCAGAAAAACTTCTTCGGAGATTATACCTTAGCCAAATTTCGTGAAGATATTTTCATAGTTAAGGGTGTTGTATATAATATGACGAAGTTTCTAGCTTCCAATTAGCCCTTACATATTGGAAAAATCAACAGACAAGAGTAACTAGAAACTTATTAGATTATGAATAGGAAATAGTTACGTTATTGAACTCAAATGTGATACTCTGAGATTAGACAGCAAAGCAAAATAAGAAATAAATTTTCTGAAAATTTTTAAATTAAATGTGTAATTTTTTTTGTGAATGACTCTTAAAATAGGGATTGCAGAAAGTCAAGCGCTTTATTTTTCTTATTTTAATTGCTTAATACTTATGTATTCTTAAAGTGTTGGTTGGTGTGGGTTTTAAATTTTATTCTAGGCACAGTTAATGTGAAATTAAAAAAAATCTACTTTTTCATATTTCGATAGATTATACGTGTAAAAATAGCATACTAGAGTTTTTAATCGATATCTTAACTTGTTTTGGAGTTACAGCCTTCTAAAGTGTAGCCGCTCAGTTCGATCAGCGCCTTATCTTAGTTTATCTTTGAGCGCGTTTTTCTAAAATTTACATATTGAAAATTAGCTGCATGACTTCTTAGAGGCGTATAATTCGCTCACTATAAGATATTCTGCATATTATGTATATAGTACACCATACAATGATCTAACAGTTTTTTGATATGATGAAAAAATTGAATTTTAGCAGGCAAAAAGGAAAAAAACTTTGAGTAAAATTCGACTGTTTGTTTTAAAACACCACAATTTTGTCAATATTTGATTTTCTTCAACCGTAGATCTTTTTACGGGCAATATCTTGTAGTAAAGAATTTTTTTTTTAGTTTACATACACGAAGGCGCTCGGAACCACATCACAGTGACGGACCATTGTTTTAGATAGAATATTATATTTTTTTTTGTTAATAATCGAGATTTTTAGGCTGTTACAATAGGGCTGTCACCTTCCATTAACGCTTGTTTGTGGCTTAAAAGTATTTATAAAACTATTGATGAGTTCATGTAATCGTCTAAATAAAAACGCCTTCTAATGATATTTTGATAGGATTGCTAAATAATATGTATTACAACTTTTGCTCACGCATTATTTTCTTTCAATATTTTTTTCCACTTTTCATTCAAAATAACACCACAGTACAATAGCAATAACCGGGCTGGGGGAGGCACATACACTTTACGCTGTTGCGAGTACAACTCAGACGTTTGCCGATTGTAATTGTTTTTGCCTTTCCTGCAATTGAAAATTGTATCCATAGTGGCCGAGCGGCGTGCGAGTTGTTGCTGCAGCAACTCGTCTACTTACGCCGAGCAACGCACAAACATATGTATGTATAGACATATAGTATATTGCTTGTGAAGTTTAGACGATTCGTACAACATGCAGCAGCAGCGCCAACAACAATTAAAACAACAAAAGCAAGAGTAAGAGCAACAGCGAAGCGCGACAGCAATAATACAATTCGTGTAAGTACACGAGCAATTGCAGACGTTGTACCTTAGCTGAATGTAATACGCTTGGAGCGCGCCGCCGGATGGGAGTGCGAACAAGCATATAAATAGGTACACACAAACATATATATAAAATGAGCATGTAACTGGTGAGTGTGCTGAGCGAAGAGACCGTAGCTGAGATGAATTCGCCGCGCGCATGAAAAGTCAAAAAGAGCGACGAAAACGAGAAGCAGCTGAGCGGTAGCGGGGAAGCGCTGTGAATTAAAGTGGCGTTGGATGAGTCGCATGTGTATGCGTGAGTGTGTGAGCGGCTACGTCTGTTAGACAACAAGCACTCAGAGAGGGGAAAGAGTGCGCTGAAAGGCGGCAGTGACAGCGACAGATATGTAGCAAAAACACAAACAACAAACGATTGTACCGAACAACAAAACAAACGAATTACAATTTTCAAGCATTGCAAAATTGAAAATCTCACAAAAAAGAAACAACAGCAATTAATATTGCAACATTTTGAAACTGCCAAATACTATAGTTGTTGTAATAGATGCAACAAAAATGGTGGCCATGCATTTTTCAACACACATTTACAATAACAACTGCACTTGTATCGAGTAATAAACTTATTTCACTATGAAAACGCTCATACCTCAATGAAACGCCCGTCCAGATGCCGGCCTGCAAGTGTTTTTATTGTTTTTATTATTATTATTCACCGTCTATTCTCCGCCTACGAGACAATTTGTATGCTCCGTAAATGCAAATCTACAAACGCACAATATTATTTACGATTTTCTTTTATTGCTTTTGTTTTTCTTTTTTTTTTGTTTATCCAATACACAGAGCTACTACTCGCAATGTGAAACGACGAAACGCGGCGCTGCAGGTTGAATTCACGAAAAATAATTACAATGTACACTGTCCAATTGTGACTGACTTCCGAGTCGCTTGTACGCGAGTGTTTTGGCTAGCGCTTGCTTGATTTTGGCTTTTTTGTTGGCACTCTGCGGCGAATATATCTACACATCGGTATGTGTGTGTATGCATGCATGCGTATGTATAATGCGGCTGAACAAGCGTGGCCAAGTGAACGGTAAATTCATGACGTTTCATAAACCACAAGCCAACATACGCTCAGCCGGAGCGCTGGTAAAAAAGCGCGGAGCGGCAAGTGAGAGAGCGCGAGAGAGAATTGCTGCGCGCCTGAGTTGCGTTTGCGGCAAGTGAACAAGTGTACATGAATTGTGAAGTGGCGAGCGCGCCCACAACAAAAAGGCAAAAAGTGCCTACAGGAGTGTATTTACAGAATGAAAGGTTCGAAGGCGCCAATGCCGTGGCAAGTAGTCAAGTGTTTGAAGTTTTTGGTAATAGTACGGCTTTTTATAATTTTATTTTTTATTTTACTAATAAATGGTTTTTAGTGGTAATATTTTGCCTAGAAACTTATTTGATTCTTATGGAAGGAAAATGGTTAGGTGATTGAACTTAAATGTGGTATTCTGAGAGTAGATTAGACATATATCGGAGCTCGCATTTAATATTAAAATGTTAATATTAAAATTTTCTGAAAATGTTTAAATATTTTTGTGAATGTTTCTTAAAGTAGGGGCTAGGAGAAGTTCTATATTATTTTCTTTAGCGTAATAGCTCAAAACTTATTCTAAAATTGTTGGTTACTGTGGGATTTATATTTTATTAAATACCACATCTAGTGTAAAATTGAAAAAAATTATTTCTTCATATTTCGATAGGTGTAAAAATAACTTTTATCTTTAAAAACAACATTTATCGTAAAACATAATATTACTAATATTGTAAGTCGATAACTCGAATAGTTTTTGAGTTACAGCCTTCTAAAGTGTAATCGCTCTGTTCAATCAGCTTTATCAGTTTATCTTTAAACGCGTTTTTCTCAAAACTACATTTGCTTGAGTGATTAGTCGGAGACAAATGATTCTATCACTGTCAATAACCTACCACTCTTTTTAAACTGATCAATAACCGAATTTTGTTAGGCCAAAAACCATCAAAATTTTGTGTAAAATTCAACATTAAAAAAGCACCGCCATTTTTTTTAATTTTTGATTTTTTTCGTAAATCATTCTACAACCATTATCTTCTAGTACAGTGTTGCAAACAATGCATTACAGAAATAATTGAATTAAAATTTAAATTAATATTTTTATTTATATTGTAATCCCAATTACGATATTAAAGAATTTTGTAAAAAAATTGAATCCCGCATTTTTATTTTTATTTCTAATACCAACAACCGGATTGAAAAATACAAAAGAAAAGTTTTAATCTCAAGCATTTAATTAAAATTTAATTTTTAGTCCAACATTTAATTTTTATCCAAAATAATTTTTTTATTTTTTATTATAAAGTTTTTTTGTTAAAAATTCGCAACTCTGCTATTGTAGAGAAGGCCGAAGTCACTGCAGCAGTGGTGGACATTTTTTAGCGCCGTTGAAGACCGCGCCTAACATAAAAAATATTTAATTTCTTCCTCAAAAATTTTACTTAGTATATTTAAAGTAAATATTCTATAAATAAGCCCTTAAAATTTTAAAACGATTGATACTTATATATATATATTCTATAAATAAGCCCTTAAAATTTTAAAACGATTGATACTTTAGTTATTTTATATTCCGAAAAATCGACTTAGTTTTTAGTTAAAAATATTTATTATGAAATTTTCACCAAGAACTAACGTCAATAACCAACAAAAAAATTTTACTTATCAAATTGAATATCTTCATTCATCATTTATTATAAAAATCTATTCAAATGTATGTTCTTCATTCCAATGATGATATATATATAATATTAAATAATATATAATATGTGGTATATAAAGATCTTATTATTTTTAACACAAATTTTCTCTATCTTTGATGTTTCAACTTGTCTATATACTTTCGTGCACTACTGTAAATGTTCGCAAATTAATAATTTATAATAATTTTTGATACAAAATTTTACTGAAACTCATTCACTGTTTTAACCACTGTAACTCTGTTTACTTTTCTCTCTCTCATTGGTTGTTACCACGCACCCCCGCTAAGTTAGCGCATGCGCCGATATGCACATTCTCTTGCCTCTGCGTCATGTTTGCAATCTTAACACATTAACTGTAGATTAAGCGTCGTATGTATGTAAATAGGTGCAAACATCAGCTTAGGTGAGCGACAAAACACATGCTCTTTGAGAGCCAAAGCAGTTAGTATGTGAGCGAATAGCCCTACCACTACCTGTGGCATATTTACAGTTATTCCGCATGTGGGTGTCAACTATTTGCATATATGAGCTGAGTTTATGTTTGAGGGGTAAACAA